TTGCTTTCCAAAGCAACTGCACCAGGTCCCCTTTCCACCAGCACCCTTTCCACCAGCAGTGTGTGAGGGTGGCAGGAAACAATGGCTATACCCCATTCTTCCGAAGGAAGCAAAAATTATATCTTATTGTGTCATCACAAGCTGCCTTTTCCCCATTTGAGACCGTATTATATTTCGCCCCTTATTATTATTACCTATCATGCCTCTCCTGACAAAGTTTGGCCTCTGTAGGTGCCTCTGGAGAGACTAGCTGTCTCTCACCATAATGTATTCAACTCATGACAGCAGGTGCCTCTCAGGATAGTGGCTACCCCTGGAAACAGTGGCTGCCTGTCCTGATAATAGCTCCTTCTGGCAATAGTAGCTGCTTGTCCTGGTGGTAGCTGCCCATAGCAATATAACCCAGTCAGGTAACTTAGCTGCCTGTCCTGATATTGTTCCTCCCAGTAGTTAACACGTCACGAGGTTTATGGGATTCTAAAGGAATTTTTTAATTGAATTTATTGGGGTTACATTGGTTAATAAAATTATATAGGCTGTGAGACTTGGCCAAGGATCTAGATGATTTAATCCAGTTTTAGGAAAGGGCTTTTACAGTGAGCAGTTAAGGCAGTTAAGAAATTAATCACTAATGAGTCATTAACCCTGCCCACTATTGTGCAGTGAACAAACTGAGGTCAGATCATTAGAGCCAGTTCCCAATTAAGAAGACGACATTGGCACTGAGTGCGCCGCCCATGGGGCTCTTTGAAGGGACCTGCTGTACACCCCCCACCCCCATCCCCCACCTCCGTTTGGCGCGGCAGAGCCTCCCCTTTCCCAGGCGGTTTAGGACGCAGCCTGAGCTCCCAGGCGGGGAGGGGCGGACTCTGGCTTCCGAGCAGAGGAAATGCCAAATTCTCTTTCTTATTATCTTCCCTAAGTCTTTTCCTGCCAGCTTCCTGGTCCTGGGGCTGGGGCTGGGGCTGGAGGTGTGTGTGTGTGTGTGTGTGTGTGTGTGTGTGTGTGTGTGTTGGGGGTGATGGTAGGGGACCGGCATTGACAGCACCTCAAATGCTAAAGTCCTAAGCGGGGCTGGGTCCACACCCTGACGTCCTTGTCCTACTCTGCCCGAAGGAGGGACCGGGCTCCTCGGAAGCGGAGTCTCTCTTGTCCCCGCTTCCCGCACGCGGGTTCTCTGAGGTCTTCGCGAAGACTGTCCATTCACCGATGCGTCTGGAGGCAAGAGACCAGGATCGGGACTCCCTCCCTCCACTCGCGGGGGTCCAGGGTCACTAGGGCGGGGCGGGGGCGGGCAGGGCTGTCCCCCCTGGTTTGATCACTCTTTCACTTGCACGCAGGGGTTCCGAGAGCGGGAACCCCCTGGTGGACGCCCAGCTTGGACCCGCCTGGAGCTGCGGCGCGGGGCCCCGGGACACCCGGTGAAGAGAGCGCCGAGGGCCTGGGCCGTCTGGGACCCCGCGGCTCTGGAGACAAGCGAGCGGGAGAGAGGAGCCCCCAGTCCTGGCGGGAGAGAAAAAAAAAAAAATGCCCCCAGAGGCGGGGAGCCGCGGTGCGCACCACGGACAAGACACCCTGGTGACCAGGAAGAGACTCCTCGGGGGGGAAATCGCGAACCTGAAGCTCCCCCACTGCCTCGGGGGTCACTGCTAGAGGCCGGGAGCCAGGTGGCTGGCTCCGCACAGGCTGGGACCACAGGATCAGCGGAGGGTCCCGGGGAGCGCGGCGGACGATCGGTCGGGGTGATCGGTCGGGGTGCGGGACCAGGGCTGCGCTGACTCCGCCAGTCTGTCGCCAGCGGTCCGATTCGATGCGTCCTTCCCGTGCGCCCCCTCGTTCCTTGCGCCCCGCCGGGTGTGCCGCCCCACAGGATCCCTAGGAGCCCCCAAAATAGCCGTTCTTCTGACTCACCTGCTTGCCTCCCGAGGCCAGATCAGACGTCATCTTCTGGAAAGGGTCGCCAAGCCTCCCGCTAAGATGACTGGACCCCAGTCGGCCTGGATCAAGGCCCGCCTCCATCTGGGTCGCTGTGTCTTTCCTCTCCGAACCTCCGTGAGGCCACTCGCCACTGGTCCTGGTTCCCCTTCCGTGGACCCTCAGGCTCACTGCGAAGACTCAACCATTTCCCAAGCGATGCGGGCTTCCTGGGGAGGCCCTTCCCCGGAGTCCCGGGTGCCCGCCCCAAATCAGAGCCAGCTCAGTCTAGTTTTGGAAGCCAGCGCCTCTGCAAGGTGATGTCTGTGGTCTTAAGTGTGAGTAGCGGCCCTAAGCACTGCAGGGTGGTCTGGGGGTTCTAAAGCTCCTTGCCAGGAGCCATTCTCGCCTCCAGTCTGAGTGAAGGTCTGGCTTCCAGTCTCACCTGCACCAGTTCCGCTGCAGCGGGCAGCAGGAATCTCCGACGTTAGAGATGCCCTGCTAGGCCGCCCCTGGGGATGGGGCGGGGCGCTGAGACTGGGGTGTGGTCCAGCCTTCCACCAGAGGCTCAGGAAAGCACTCACAGCTCACTCCCACCGCTCAGGATCTCAGTTTCCAGGTGGTCTAACGAGCTGTTCTTGAGAACTGAAATAAGGCACTTATTCAGCAAATGTTTCCTGGGCAGGCACTATGAGGGAACGGCCCCAGCTTGTGGTTGTTACAGCTCCAGGGATTACAAGGCTGCCAACGGGGCAACCTCTCTGTGCCTCGGCTTCCTCCTTTATAAAACAGGGCTAAGTGTATCTTCCTGGTAGGGTGGTTGTGAGTCTTCGATAAGCCAACACATAGATGTAAACAGCTTAGAAGGCTGTTGGCACATAGTTTTCAGTGATCATTAACCTTCAGCAATTTTATTATCATTTCCTAAGGACTTGTCCCTGAAATCCAGTTGAAATCACTCAAATTGTTGATACCTAAAGAGATGGTTTAGCAGAATATCCACTCTCAACCTGAACTAAATAGTAAAGGAAGAGAAGGAGGTGGTGGAAAAAAATGTAGATTAAAAAAAATAATAATAGAGCCCAGCCAGTGTAGCAGTGGTTGAGCCACACCTATGAACCAGGAGGTCATGGTTTTATTTCAGGTTGGGGCACATACCCAGGGGTTGTGCAGGAAGCAGACAATCAATGATTCTCTCTCATCACTGATGTTTCCATCTCTCTCTCCCTCTCCTTTCCTCTCTGAAATCGAGGGGATATATATATATATATATATATATATATATATATATATTAAAAGAATATAAAGAAAAATGGCAGAGAGGAAACAAAATGAACAATTGTGGAAATAACCTAAGAAAAGTGAAGAAAATGCTGATGTGGGGATGGGCCCAGACTATGATAAGAATAAGGAGGGCAGGCAGAGGGAGAGGGCAGTGAATTTGGGAGTTCTCTGAATAAATTATTCCTAGGTGTGAAAGGATGAAAGAGGACAGGCCAACCTGAAAGAAATTTACGTATGCACTCATCGAGTTTACCTATTGTTTCTTGCCAAGAGCTGAGATCACTTGGGCCACTTCATCCATTTCCCCAAGGAACATCCTTTGAGCGAAAGCACAGGTATCCCTTCTTATATCTTGGGGGAAATAACCGATTAAATAAATGCTTAGTGACCAACCTACTGTGTGCAGGATACCAGAGGAAGAGCTTAGGATACACAGCCCTGTGTATGCCACAGCCTCTCGAACCCGGGGCGTGGCAAGGCCTGAATTCTGCAATGACACCCTCTACCCCAAGCCCGGAACAGCCATCCTTCCAAGGAGGTTTTAGGGAGCCCAGCGCAGCGCAGGGTTGCTGAGGGAATCAGAGAAACGGCCCACAACGCGGAGGGCTTCGTGCCAGGGTCATTGACAATTTATACAAAAGACAGGTGATCTCATTCCATCTTTCCCACCTCCCAGAAGTGGGTTTCATTCTGACTAGGAAAGGACGGGAGACTGGGTGATAATTAACGTGCTAATCACCGAGGGACGAGGGACCGTAGGCGGTTGATGCTAAGTCTCAGGCAGCATCTTTCCGAGTGTAAGCCTACCTAGGGGACCCGCCGCCCAGCTTCCAGGGTCAATTTCGGATACCACAGCCTCTCAGCCTGGGAGTCCCGGGTCCTCCTTTACCCGAGAGAATCCGGGGAACTTCTGAAGCCCTAGGGACCTCCGGGTTCCTTCTCTACCCCAGAGTCGGTGCAAAAGAACTGCAGATACTGTTCACAGTGCCCCTCGAGGACGTGCCTTCCCGTTGGGCACAGAGCGCTGCAGGACACATTCCCAGCGTGGATTAAGGGAAGCGCTGAGGGGGGAAGGGTGCGGGGCGAGTTGGGGGAAGGAGAGAGAGAGAGAGAGAGAGAGAGAGAGAGAGAGAGAGAGAGAGAGAGAGAGAGAGAGAGAGAGAGAGAGAGAGAGAGAGAGAGAGAGACACGGGGCTCAGGAAAGGGAAAGTCGCTCCCGGAATTCAGAATTCGGAAGATTGAGGTCATGGACCCTGGATACCAGGGCTAGCGCCGACCTGGTGACCTGGACAATGCTCTGAGAGGGGCCTTGGCCGCGGCGCACTGGGACGAGGGAGGCCGGGCCGCCAGGGGCTTCAGTTCTCCCCCAGGGAAGGTGGTGCAGACGCTTCCCATTGGGGGGTCCTTCCTTCAAAGTAGCAGCCTCAGCCGGACTCTGGGGGTAGCGCACAGGCAGCTGAGCCTTAGACTCCAAACACCCCCACGCCCCGCATTCACACGAGCCCTGCCTGGCCAGGGAAGGGACAGCTCTGGGCACGGACCCCGCCGCGTTGGGAATGGGGACACTGTCCGGGGTGGGGACACAGCGCCTGTTGAAGCACACCGCGCCCGGAGGGTACCACGGGGCCCCGATTCCTCGCACTCTTCCACTTTCCGTGACCCCCTCCCCCCATCCCCGGCCCACTCCACAGTCCCTCTCCCACGCCCATCCACACCCCACCCTCCTCCCACCACCGCAGTCCCGAGGGCGGTTAACTGGAGTCAAACCAAAACAAGTAAAGCTTTAATTTTCAATACTTTCTCAAGTACTTTGCAACTATTTATACAAACAATTCTTCAAACTATATTTCTCCCCTTCTTCCCCCCCCCCCCCCCATCCCTCCCAGTTGCATTATCTGGGGTTGCCACGCCGCCAGGGACCCGCCGAGGTCAAGCGCTTTGGGTCCCTCGGACAAGGCCGGGCCGCTCGCTTCTCCCCCTCCAGCATCGAGGCTGGCGGGGTCTCTGGGGTTTGGGGTGGCTAAGGGGCCTCCGTCGGCCTGAGGGTCAGTCCTCCGTACTGAGTCTGGAACAGACGCGCACCCAAGCCCCAAGCCGGCTGCAGCTTCAGGCTGCATGGGGAAGGAGTGGCCGTCGGGGGACCAGGGGGAAGGGGTGCAGGCTTTCGGCTCCTGGAGGGTTTCCTGGCGCCCGGTTTGGTCCCCGCGCCCCTAGAGCGCCTGCCACGGCTTCGCGATGGCCTGGATGTGCTCCTTGGCCTTCAGGCGCAGCGCCGCGATGCTGCTGTTGCGCGGGTCCGCCTCGTCCAGCGGGAACTTGTCCCCGAAGCCCTGCCCGCAGGGGTAGGCGGGCGGCGGCGGCGCCAGAGGCTGCAGGCTGGGGCCCAGCGGCTGAGAGTTCAGGAAGGGCGGCGGCGGCGGCGGCGTGTAGCTGGCGGGCAGGCTTTGCGCCGGCGGCCCGAAGCCCGGCAGGCTCTGCAGCGCCGTGGCGCCCCCACCCGGCAGCGGCGGCCCGAGCCACGACTCCAACGGCAGGGCGCCCCCCGCCGGCCCCCCGCCGCCACCGCCGCCGCCGCCGGAGCCCGCCCCGAGGGGCGCCAGAGCCGCCGAGGGCGGGGAGCGGCTAAAGGAGAGGAGGGGCGAGTCCTGCAGCTTCATGGACGACACCTCCAGCTTCTCCTGCCGGCGCCACTTGGCCCGTCGGTTCTGGAACCACACCTGCGGAAGGCGGCACAGCGGCCGGCCGTGGAGCTGCAGCCCGGCCAGTTCACTCCTCTCCGCCCCCGCCCCCCGCCCCGCAAGTAAAACTGGGGCGCGACCATCTCGCACCTACTTCTTCCACCCCCACCTGACACACACACACACACACTCACACACACACATCTCTCTATCGGTCCTCTTCCTTGCTCCTTTTGTCTCTCCCTCCCTCCCTCCTCTCTTTTCTCTGGGTCTCCTGGTGCCACACTTGTCCCTGTTTGTCTCACCTATAGCTATAGTTGTATCTGTTCCCAAAAAAGTGCAGTTAACCCTGGAATCAGACCGTGGGGCTGTGGAATCCAGATCGCACCCATTTCTGTGACCTTCTTCTTGGCAGCCCCTCCTGACTGCGTTTTAAACTCTGCTTCCTCCCTGTGTTGCTCAGCTCTCAGTAGCCCACCCCCCATCAGACTTTCTGTGCTTTACCTACCTTTTGTCGCTGTTATAAATATGTATGTAAACCAAATACTCTAAGCACTGTAACTGGCACCACTGGATGCTAAAATATAGCCATTTCCACGAATAACTGGTGATGATAACTATTAGAAAAGTGTGAGTTAGTTTTATCCTAAGTATATTTGAGTTGCTGCTTTGATAAGATTTTTCTTTTTAGTTAATTGATATTCATTTAGAATTTCTTATATTTCTTATAAATGACTTTTGATGATTATAATAGTTTATTATATATCTACTTTTACTTTATGGAGTTAGTTCTGATATTACCCTAAGATGGGTTCGATAAGTTCAAGTCTTTTTTTTTTTTTTCTTCTTTACATATGGACAGTGCATGCCAGAGTGAAGTCTGGTCTCTTAACAATGAAATATCCAATCTTGATTTGATAAAATCACAAGAAAGGGCGCACTTAGGGTTTCACTATAGTTAGCATCCTCAGAAACAAACAATTCTTGGAGATAATTGGTCTAGCTTAGTGGAGAATCTAGAAAGAATTTTGGACAAACTGGTGGCGTCAGTGTTATATTTATGAAGGGACATGGGGGTAGATGTGACTTTAGATATTTTAGAGGGTGAAGCTGTTGTGAGTCCATAGGAGTGGGGAGGGCACCTCCAGGGGGGCTGAGAAAAGAGCCACCAGCACTTGAGCCAAGTAAGGCTGGGATTGGGGGGTGGGGGGGTAATGTGAAGGAAGAATAAAAAAATGTAAGTACTCCGCCCCTTCCTACAACACATTCACCTACATATCTGAGGTTCCCCAGAAAAGGGATGTTTGCAGGTAATCGAAAAAAGAGAAACACTGGCTTGGGTGATGGTTCCATCCTCCCGTCCCGATTCTCAGGATGTCCTACTCCATCCCCCAAAAATATCACCTATGGTGATCAGATTGATCCTGTATTAGAGGGCTAAAGGCCTGGAAAGTCAGCTCTTACACTGCTGCCTCAACACAGCTGGAGACCCTGCTGAGCACACACCCCCACCCCGCCCCCTCCCATCTGATTGCATCCTAGCCAGGCATTAAGCACACCAAACTCTGGACACTGCGCTGGCCCTGTGGTCACAGAGAAGTCACAGACACTGTTCTCAAGAGGACAAGCCAGAAGGACAAGCCAGAGGACAAGTGAGGAGTGAGGAAGGAAAGTGGGACAGTGGTGGCCTCAGGTATAAAGGCAGCTCCTGAGGGGCGGGCCTCTGTTCCGCAGGGGCACTGAAGGCTTTGCTCTCTGTTTTTCCATCTTTCACTGGATGCTTTTCCTCTTCCTATGGCAGCCGCCTGCCCTGCACAGCAGGTGCTAATATGCCCACCGCTCCCACAAAACCATCACAGCCTCACTGACCCCATTTAGGAGAAATTGAACTGACCTTGCCATTTAATCCTGAGCCACATTAGAAAACTATGTTTTAAAACCAGGACATCGACTCGTTACTTTAAACCCTCAAATTGAGCACAAGAGACAACGACAAGAGCTTGTCTCCTTTTACTTTTAGACAAGACTGAAAGCCCCAAACACACACACACACACAACCCATTTAGCTCCCCGGCCTCTCAGAGCAGTGAAACTTGTTCCCAGTGACTCCCTTCAGGCCTCTGTAAACTCTCCCAATTTGGAAATCCTCCCAGATTTTTCACAGATGACTAGCAAATATTTAAGGCTTTCAAATATTTTAATGATCGGGGATTAAAGATAATTCAGCTTTAATTAAAGCAAAAACCCCTTTACAACAAAAGGAAAAGGCCTCTGCAGCGGAGGGAGGCTTGATTGGATGTGCACCAGAGAAGCAAAAGTCAGGTCCTTAAACAAATCCACGGAAAGTTTCAACTGCGCGGCGCCAGGCTCGTCGCAGGAAGACGGGGTTTTGGGTTTTAAACAGGGTAATTGCAGCTGGTTATTAGGGTGGCATGCAGGGTCCCAATCTGGAGACCCTCAGCTGCTGCCTACCTTCCCTCTCTTCTCAGTACTCACCCCTCCACACACACCCCACCCTGGCTGCGACTAAACAGCTGTCCTTGCCCGCGGTTCCCAATTCCCCTCTTTAGCTCCGAAGACGGAGACCGCAAAGGGGACGGGGAACCGCGAACTGGCACCGAATGCCCCAAGGACGGCGCGGGGCGCACGGAAGAAGACCTGTGACGCCCGTTTGGGGCTCTGGCCAGCCCAGCAGAGGAAGGACAACGGGAAAAGGGGCATCACAAATGCGTGGGCTCCGGGGAATTCAAGGGAGCATTGTCTGCAGCTTGGGCTCGGGCCCTCCCGGGGACGACGTGGGCGCTTTACCTGGACCCGGACCTCGGGGAGGTTGACCTTGCCCGCCAGCTCCTCGCGGCTGTACACGTCGGGGTAATGAGACTTCTCGAACGCTCGCTCCAGCTCGTGCAGCTGGTACGTGGTGAAGGTGGTGCGGTTCCTCCGGTGCTTCTTTTTCGGCGGCTCCTCCTCCGACAGGTTCGCGTCGCCCGCGGGTCCGACGGGCAGCCCTGGGCTCGGCCGCGCCTCCCCGGACTCCTTGGGGCAGTAGGGGCGGGAGCCTGGGGCGGCGGGGCCCCAGAAGGTCAGAGACACTCCCGGGAGCCTCCCTGGACCCACCCCGCCTACCCTTGGGCACTGGCCGCCAGTTGCGGACTCCGAGATGACCGGGCGGGTGCAGAGTGGGGAGGAGAGTAGGGGAGGCCGGTCCGGGTGAGAGCTGTGAGGCGCTCGTAAGCTTTCTCTGAACTCAAATCGGAAACCCGGGCACCCAGGTGCCTTGATAAAAATTAAGGCCGGGCTCTCTGTCCCGCAGCGTTTCTAAGTCAGGGCTTCCTGGGCCTCGCAGCAGCCCGGGCGCGCACTCACCGCACTCACCTTCGTACTCCGGGGCGGGCGGTGGGCAGGGCGGGGCGCCCCCCGCGGGCGCCTTTGGGCAGGCGGCCCTCGCGCCCGGCCTCTGGTCTCGCTCCTTGGTGCCCCCGGCGCCCGGCTCCGCTGCGAAGGAGCCGAGGATCCCGTCGTCCTTGGTAAACCCCAGGATGGCCTCGATGCTGTGCAGCCGCGAGGTGCCCCCGCCCGGGCTGCGGAGCAGGTGGCCGGCGAGCGAGAAGCTGCCGTCGGCCATGGCTGGGGCGCAGCCGGGCAGGTGCATGGGGAGAGCGGGAGGCGGGAGCACGCGGCCCGCGCTGTGGGCAGCGCCGTCTGCACTGGAGACAGAGAAGAGGCTCGAAGACGATGCTTTTCCCTTGTGCGGCCGTCCCACCCGATGGCTACTGACCGAAGGTCAAGCTCGGCAGGCAACGCCGCCGGCAGAGCTGCGCTCGCTGGAGGGGGACGGGCGCTCGGCCCGCGGCCGCCTGGGTCCCTGCAGGAGTCGAAGGTGCGACTCCCAGGAGCTGGGGCTTCGGGGCCTAAAGGCTTCGGGCCCACTCACCCCGGCTCCTCCCCTCTGGCTCCCGACCCAGTCACCCCCACCCTCGCCCAGGCGGGGGCAGCACCTCTCATCTTCCTATTCCCTCAGGCACTCCGAACACACCCCGGGGCCAGCGGTGGGGGTAGACAGGCCGGGGACCCGGGTCTGTGGGTCGGTGCCCCCCCGCCTCGCCTCAATGGGCCCGACGCCCTGGGTCTCACCTCTCGGTCTCGGGCTTCCCCCCTCCTGGGACTCACCTCCCCCTTCACCTCCCTCACTCCCTAGGCTCCTGCCTGCTGGGGCTGAGCGCCCCCGGTGACCCTCGGAAAGGCTTTCTGGCTCCAGGACGTTGGAAGTCAGTCTGCCCTTCTTTTCTGTTTTAATCTCCCCTCTCTCTCCCCCGTTGTACCCCCCACGGCAATCCTCTTGGGGTTCCGTAGTCCGAAGCCCGGGCTTGGGGTTTACTTTGTATATCTGTGTTAACTGCTTCTCTCCGACTGGTGCTCGGGCTCCCTCAGCTCCGGCCCAAAGCCGGGGGAGGAGGGGGGGAAGGGGGGCGGGGGAGGCGGATGGGGGGGGGACCATCTGCGCCGCAGGCCCCAGACCTCCCAGCTCCTTGGCCAGCAGGAGCCTGGAAGGCTCCCAGTCGGATGCGTTCTCCCCACCCACCAATTCCCCAGGCCGAGGAGAGGACCCAACCTCAGGCTGACTTGGGAAGGACCTTGAGGGGTGGGGGAGGCCTCCAACTTCTCTGGGAGTTACAGATATACCGTGTTTTTCAGACCATAAGACGCACCAGTTTTTAGAGAAGGGAAATGAAGAAAAAAAGATTCTGAAACAAATAGTGCCCTAAAATATTTTATGTGCATTAAAACCCAACATCACAGTCATAAACACATGTAATCAACCCTGTAAAGTAAACAGCAGCTTTTAGAACCATTTTAGAGCCGGGCAAGCACACAGAGACCACACAGAGCCGGGCAAGTAAAAAAACTTTTTTTAAAAGTATATGTGTAGGCTATATTTGGACCATAAGACACAGGGACTTCCCCCCCCCCCCACTTCTTGGGGGGGAAAAAGTGCGTCTTATGGTCCGAAAAATACGGTAACCGCTTGCATTTCTTCCCTTTGGGAGACCCCTCGAGGCTTCCGTGGCCCAGAGTGGCTCGGAGGTCAAGTGGAAAGATGATTTCTGGGGGAAGGGGGAAGAGGGGTGCTTTTTTTTGTTGTCCACATCCTCAGTGCTGTGACCGCAGGCTGAGGCCAGACCCCACGCAGACCCCAGCATTTGTGGAAATTAAATGCTTCCTGAAAAATCGACGACTTTTAGGAAAGGACCTAGAGAGTCTTACAAATCTTTGCAGGTGCCTTGTCTCCACTCAGGGGGACCTCTCCCTGCACCCGCGTTTGTTTATTCCCTTTGCATTCTTTCTGAGGGTCCAGCTCTGACCTGACGCAAGCCCTGTCAGCCCCACAAAGGAAAGGAAGGGCCAGAGCCCCTGGCCTTGAGGAGCCTAAGGCCCAGCCTAGGAGACAAAAGAAGAAAAGAGAGAAAAACGCCTATCTTTGGATCCTCCACCTTGAAATTGACCCGTGACTAAGCTAAGGATCCTTAAATGGGCAAATGGAGGGAAGTTGATGACATACATCGCTTTATATCTTTAAATACAAACATGAAAAGGTAAGTTAAAGAGCAAGCATGTGAGTTTGAAGCAGCCAGAAACTGATTCAAGTTCAATTATTTTTAATTTTAAAAAGACGCTAAATTAATGAAAATCACTATGTGTTGCAAAAGAATGAAACTAGATCACCAACTTACACCATACACAAAAATAAACTCAAAATGGATACAGGACTTAAACATCAGACGGGAAACCATAAAAATACTAGAAGCATCCTCAGGCAGCAAAATCTCAGACGTATGCCAAAAGAACTTCTTCACTGATACTGCCCCTAGGGCAATGGAAGCTAAAGATAAAATAAACAAATGGGACTACATCAAAATAAAAAGCTTTTTTACAGCAAAAGAAACCATCAACAAAACAACAAGAAAGCCCACGGTGTGGGAGAACATATTTGCAAATAACACCACTGATAAAGGTTTAATCTCTAACATCTACAGACAGCTGATACAACTAAATAAAAGGAAGATGAATGATCCAATTAAGAAATGGGCAAGGGACCTAAATAGAATATTTTCAAAAGAAGACAGAAGGAAGGCCAAAAGGCACATGAAAACATGCTCAAAGTCACTAATTATACGAGAGATGCAAATCAAAACAACAATGCGGTACCATCTCACACCTGTCAGAATGGCCAACATCAACAAATCGACAAACGACAAGTGTTGGCGAGGTTGCGGAGAAAAAGGAACCCTCGTGCACTGCTGGTGGGAATGCAGACTGGTGCAACCACTGTGGAGAACAGTGTGGAGTTTCCTCAAAAAACTGAAAATGGAACTCCCATTTGACCCAGTAATCCCACTCCTAGGAATATATCCCAAGAAACTAGAAACACCAATCAGAAAGGATATATGCACCCCTATGTTCATAGCAGCACAATCTACAATAGCCAGAATTTGGAAACAGCCTAGGTGCCCGTCAGCAGATGATTGGATCCAAAAACTATGGTACATCTACACAATGGAATACTATGCTGCCATAAAGAAGAAGGAATTCTCATCATTTGCAGCAACCTGGATGGAATTGGAGAACATCATGCTGAGTGAAATAAGCCAATCAATGAAAGAGAAACACCACATGACCTCACTCATTTGTGGATAATAAAGAGCATTATAAACTGATGAACCAAAAGATAGATATAGAGACAGTAAAGCAACAAGCAGATTGTCAAATTACAGCGGGGAGGGGAGGAGGATCTGGGGAGATAATAGATCAACCGAAGGACTTGTATACATGCATATAAGTACAACCAATGGACATAAAACTATGGGGAGGGAGGGGCTATGGGGGAGGGAGGGAGGGGGGCAAAAAAAATCATTAAAATATGTAAAAAAAAATAAATAAATAAATTAAAAAAAATGTTTAATGAAAAAAAAAAAAAAAAAAAAAAAGAAAATCACTATGTGTTTTATAGTGCTTGCAGGTCACTAGACTTTTCAGAATCCTTTCACATTCTTCCTGTCATCGGATCCCCACAGCCCTGTGAGGTGAGCTGGACCTTGTATATATATACAATATATATATATATTTGTGCCCATTTTACAGAAGAGGAAACAGAGTCTCGAAGTGATAGGATACAGCTGTTAAGCGGAAGGGTCAGGACTAGAACTCAGACCTACTGACACCTTGCCCAGTGTTTTCCAGCTGTGGCTCATCTGTAATTATTAAGGAAGGGGGTGATGTTTGGAAAGAATCAAAGCACAGCTTAGCCTGAGGCGTCTTCCCAGAGACTGAATCCTAAGATCTACCTCAACATCTAAGACACTGAGGTAGAAATAAGTGAAGTCAGAACTCCTAGGCAGAGGAGCTGGAGTCCAGGCGGACCGAAGAGGATCCACCACAGCCTGGTGAAGGAGCCCGCCCGGGGCTCTTTTCGGGGTGCCCAGTCTGTCAAAGGCACCGCCCCAAGTCAGCCCGCTGGCACCTCACAAGGTCCCATGTACCGTTACCCAGAGCAAGTGCTGGGATGCTGAGGACGTGGTGACCAGAGGCGGCCTTAGGGATAATTAATTGGTGTTCGCGGTTTCTCCTCTGACTGAGAACGCTTTTTATGTAAACTTGTTCCAATATTAAACTGATCTCTATAATCACCGTTAAACTAAGATTGGCAGCGTTTCCTTAAGCTCCTGCCCACACGCTAAGGGGTTTAGCGCCTTGTTTTCCACAGTTAATTCCCTCTGGAACTGCCCAGCGCTCCCTAATAGGCCCAGGTGAGGTTGGCTTTTATTTCCTGTTTATTTCAGAGGCTGGGGGGTGGGGAGCAGAAAAGAAGGCAACAGCCACTAGTGAGGGACGAGGTGGGGGGGGCGGGAAACAGGGTGAAGCGGGACAAGGGGAGGTTGGGGCTTTCTTTGTGAGCGACATAAAGAGCTAGTCAATACCATTGTGGGCATGGTGGAGGGTACTCCAAGCAATCAGCCGGGGGTCATTGTTAGGGTCTAATCTACATGTGTATTTCCCAAGAACTCGATTAGGGACGATGAATGGACTCGGCCGTGTCCGTAATTCTTCTAGCAATTTTCTGGCAGCTACGCCAGCTCCCAAGCAGCCCAGCTTCAGCAAAAGTAAGGAGCCTGGCTTCTGAACCCCACTTCTGTTTAATTCATTAATTCATTAGGTGGATCAAAGAAAACTCCCCCTCCCACCCTTCAGGGGCCAAAGTGAGACACAGCTAAAGCCCCTTTAAACCAGGCATAACTCAGAGAAACATTTCCAAAAGTGAGGGGTGTGGGGTGATTGGAGTATGGGGTGTCTTAGGAGAGGGAAGCTCTGCATGACGTGGGAAGCACAATACAGACAATAGGAGTTGGGAGAGAGATGTTGGGGAGCAAGGGCGTAGAGACGGGTGAGTCCTAACAAAACCAGATCTACATGCAAGCAGCAGTTCTGTGGAGGGGCAGCATAAAGAGGCTCCTTTCTCTTGGGGACATGCAAGAGGGCCTGTTTTGGGAAGTATTCTGGGCAGACGGCTTCACCACTACACTCTTGGGAGAAAACAGTGTCTATAGAGTTCCCTTAGCACTGGGTGGGGAGGGGGCACGGTCACAAAGTGGGTTCATGCCATTTGGCCTCAGCCTCTCGGAATGTTCCCTTGAAGTGATGTTTCAGGTTTGGGGGGGAAAAATGCCGATTTAAGGTCCTGTGGGCAATGGCCTCATAAAGTATATAAAACAAGTAGATTGTCTGCCTGCGGGTCATCCCCTTAGCAGATGTGATTTCATCCTGGAGTAACTCCACCTGTCTCATACCAACTTGTGGGACCATCACCTCCCACTAGCCCATGTTCATTCGGGAAGGCAACTAAACTGCAGTTTCAGCCAAAGCAAA